GGAAATTCAGACAGTTGCGTTGCGCCAGTTGGTTGAATGAATCCAGGCCCTGGGCCGCCTGTGTAAATGAATGTGAAGCAGGCCCTGGGCTGGATACGGGTACAGGGCCAAACACAGGCCGAAAGCAGTTGGGCGCATGCAACCACTTCAGGCCCAAGGCCTGCTCTCTTCGTGACTGGGCCTGTGCCTACCGGGGCCTACCTGAAGCTTCCTGGACTGGACGCAGCCAGGCCACTTGGATATAGGGAAGGGCCTGCCTCCTCATTCGGCATTTGGGTGCTGGCTGCATGCTGCGTGAGCGCTGCTGTGCAATCCACTGGCTGGCTGGCACTCACGCTCTCACGGGCGAGTAGGAGGGAGCACGCAGCCATAGCCAAGCTGCGCTGCTGTATGCTAGGTGAAGCGCAGGGTGGTCCTTGGGGTGCTAGTGGCATCTGTGCGGTGTGGATCGGGGTTGTGAGTGTTACGAGAGACATACCTGGTGCTGAAGCGTGCGACATTGGTCGCCATATGCTCGTACTTCGGGAACGCTGTTGATGTCATCATTCTGCTTCGTAGTRTAGGTTAGATAGGATCTGCCACCTGTAGTCTGGGCGCCGAGCGCCAATAGGATATCAACTCTGGTTCGTAGTTGATGATGATGGGACTACTTCAGCATTTTCAATTTTGAACTCTTGGTGTGTTCTTATTTGGTGTATCTCGTGATGCCAGTCTGCTGTGGTTCGAGGTTAAGACTATCTGGGCTCATATGTATGATGCTGTTTGATTGCTGAAGTTCGCTAATGCTCATCTTCCTTGCATTATTATTACTATTATTTTTTACTGGTCGGCAGACCGCCGACCGGTCCGCCCAACTGGTAGGCTGCAATACTGTTGGCGGTCGGGGTCGGCAGGGACACCACCACCAAGTTTTTTTTTTTTTTTCCCTTAAGAGCTTGTTAACCACCACTCTAGCATGAAGAATCTGATTTTTGTTGACTTTTCCCATCAGAGTGGACTTCCCTGTTTTGAATGTGTTTTCCTTCTTTGTGCTGTTGTTTTTTGGCAAAGCAGGTCAGATTGCATGAGAAACTCAAAGATTGTGCCGAGTACACGATAGAGAAAGACTTGACTCACATCACTCTAAAAGGATCATCATCATCAGGAATGGAGATCTTTGTGGAATTTTCAGGGATGGACGATGACTGGATCGACGTGATGGCAAGCAGCCCGTCTAGCAAACGAGACCCCGCAAGAGCGTGGGTGGAGGCTAACATCCTCGAAGAAGTGCACAGACTTTGTGATGATGAGCCAGTCGGCTTACCTGGTGTCGAGCTGGTGATGAAAGTCATCCGTTCGGATTGCGTGGAGAAGTTGGTTGCGCGTCAATATCGTACCGACTCTCAGGTGGTTGAGGAAGCTAAGGTTCTTGATGCAATCAATCTTTGGGGGCTTGACTATGTCTACAACTGGCCTGCGGTCCGTCAAGGTGGTTACTGCCAAGCGCTACCTGAAGCGGAGTGTCGGGGACTGGACCTGATCCGGCCATCGGTAATTAAGGAAACCCTGTTTCGTCACGGATGGGAACTTCGTCGCTTGGCGAAGGACTTGGAGCTAGAGCACGTTCTTGCAACGGACGACCGGTTGGAAGATCAGCTTGCGGATCTTGATTCGAGCATGTGTCACCCTGTGACATACAGAGCTGCTTCGCCGCAGCACGAGGATGACGAGATTGCTGAGGATGCGGATCGCCCGATCGCCGCGACTTCTAGGCGGCCATTGTGGAGCACTTATGATTTCCTGACGACCAGGCCGTTTGAGAACGACGACCGAGCTCAGTCTCAGTCGAGTCTTCAGAGAATGGATGGGACGATGACAGACGTGGAGAGTGAACTGAGATCCCTTCTGCAGGCTCAGAAAAGAATATATCCCAAGATATGTGAAAAGGTGTTCACAGTTTTGCACCCGGCGGCAGCAGGAGTCGAGAAACAGAACGTGCGGCAACTGCCACGTCTCCTCTATTTCACGGAACGGGAAGGGAACACGGGGAAAATTGCATCCTGGTTCGGACATCCAGTCGGAGTTCGTCTGCTCCGACTTCATCTGATGTGCGAGTCGAGGAGTCAATGCCATGTCGTTGGAGGGCAGCCGGGGATGGAGGTATGGGTCCCCGAGAAGGAGAGACAGGCACTATGGGTGCTGCTGAGACCGACGGTACTGCTGATGACTATCTTCTTGATAACCGGGTGCGGATCGTTGGCAAGCCTACACCTCCTCTCCCAGGAGATTACATCTCTCAGCCGCGATTGGTCGTCACTGATCGCCACACAAGGTGCCCAGGCTGCAGGTACAGCTGCAGCCGCCGCGCTAGAAGCTGAGCGGGCCGTGGAAGACTTCAAGGTTCGACTTTACAGTCGTGGAATGAAGGCAACGTTCGAGGACGCACCAGGAGACGAGGAATTGAAGATGAAGGAGGCGGTTTTGTGGCTGGAGAAAATCTTTGCAGGTGGGGCAAGGATGATCGGACGAAAATTTCATTTATCAGTCGTCCGCTATCGGGACACAGGCGCAGTTGCGTGGATTTGTGATGGGTGTCTCGCAGCAGCTCACAACGGAGTGGAGCTGGTAATGTAAACCCTTCTTCTGTATAATACTGTGTACAGTTACTGCTTGTGTATTTCCAATCCAAGAATCGAACACACAACCAACGGCTTGCCATGCAGATACCTAACCAATAGGTTAAGTGGGATCGTCAGGGGCAGGTATGTGAATTCTCTCTTGCTCAAATTGTTGCCTTCTTTGAGAGAATCATGGAGCAACCCCTCCTTTGATCTTTTGCAGGACAACTTCTTCTTCTTCTTCTTCTTCTTCTTCTTCTTTCTTTCCTTTCCTCTTTTTCCCTTTTCAAAGAAGGGCGACGACCTTGAAATATCATCATTCGAACTGAGCGGCCGTAGGTAATTCAGAATGACAGAGCTTCTTCTTCTTCTTTTTGTAGAATAGTTTGCAGACTTTGTTCTTCTCCACTCTGCCTAGTTTCCTTCTTGCTTTCCATGCGGACTGCTCTTCGTCACACAGACGAATGGTCGGCAGACTCGGCACAAAGAATGCGCATCACGGAAGACTGTGCCTGGCTCTTAACACTGAGAGTGTTTTTTTTTCAATTCACAGAATGCTTGAAGCAGAGTGTAGGGGTGTCACTCACCGGGGAGGACGGCAGTAGTCTGGCAGCCCAAGTCTTTTTGGGCTCAGCACAGTCATGGATTGACTACCCACTTGTTAGTTAGGGAAAGGCCCCACATGTCTATGTCTATGTATCTATGCCCCTATGCCTACGTCTATCTCGATGTCTATCTTGCGGTATCCAGTAGCAGATTTTCAACATCACGTTGAAATCAGCTAAAGCATAGAGTTTTTTTTTGAAGTTTTTTTTTTTTTTCTTCTTCTTCTTTTTTTTTTTTTTTGCTGAAGCTCTATTTCATTTTGTTTGTACTCGATGTTAAATAGTAAATACCCAACAAGAAGCAAAGAGTTTCAAAGTTATCAATATCAGTAAATGCTACAATGTCTTCTTTCTTTTCTTTTCTTTTCTTTTCTTTTCTTTTTTTTTGGGTAAATGCTACGATGTCATGTAGTTATACAGACATATGTGGGTCACAACACAAAAACAAAAAGAGGCATACATGGTGACGTATAGACCTTTATCATGATAGACGTGGAGCTGCTTGACCTCTGTCTATGCCTGTCCATTGTCCATGTTACATGCCCAGTTGGGCGATATACATATAAACCGAGGATCCACAATGTGAAGAAAAGGACTGAATGGACAATGCAGTGCAAGTAGAATCTCAACAAGCAATGTGCATTACGATACATACAGAATGCTGCTTTATAGCGCAGAGAAGACTTAGAAATGTAATAACCCTGTTCAGAAGTAGCCTGGGGCCCAGAACTCAGCCCCAGGCCCCGCAAACCTGAGTAGGTCTGCGCTGGGCTGTGTGTACCAAGACACGCCCAGGCCTGAGTCTGTCGAGTGTGGCTGTGTGATCGAACGTTGCACACAGGAAATTCAAGAGTCAAAGTCAACTGTAGAGTCAAAGGTACCGCACCCAGGCCCTTGGTTGGATACACTCACTTGTTGTGCGCAGGTACCCAGACAGCATCCAGGCCGGAGGGAATTCGGTTTCAGGCCAATCTGGGCCCTCATTCGCATCGAGATCTGGATGGCCGAGGGATACAGCATCCGGGGTCCAGACCCCGCGTCAACACTACATAAGAACTGACTTCCTGGCTTTGACATTCATTTTGTCGTGCGTTGATGCTGACTTCACGCGTTGATTTCAACGCTGGTTCGACGCTGCGACGCTGGCATTGTGACTTGGCGAGGCGCTGCTAGTCCGGCATGGTGGCCGGCTTGCTCCTGTCTTCTTGGCATGCGGACGTGGCAGCTGCCATGCGCTGTCGCTGATATGGCTGCTGCCATGTGTATCATTGGCTGACGTGGCTGCTGCCACGCGTTCTATGGTTGGGACTACGTAATCGGCATTGCTGTTCTGTTTCATCGTCGCTTCAGGAGGAGATCAGGACTGTGGAGAGTTCGTGGATACGTACCTGGCTGTCTTCATGTCGACATTGCTCCAGTGCTGATGGGGAACTGATTAGATGTGCCACGTGGCACATTGAGGATACTTCGGATACTCGTTCAGACTATTGATTATTGACGTGGTAGTAGAGGAGGGTGCCCGAAGCAGGAGTGGGCATTGTACTTCCTCTCCTTTGTCTTTTCTCCCTCCTCTCTCTTCGTCTGTGTATGATTACCTCACCTCATTCTGTCTGGTTACGATGTTTGACTATTAGTAATCATCAGCCGATGGACATTTATCTGGGCATTGTTGACGACTGTCTTCACGATCTGGGTTCATTGCACTTAGATACAAATCCTGACCTGATCGGGACTGAACTCATTCACGTAGTACAAGATAGCGAAGCAGAATGCTAGAATGCTAATGACTACCCCAATCAATGTTTAAACGCAGACTAAACATGCATCATGTCCATCACAAGGTGTGACGGAGCCTGGCGCTATACACAGGAAGAGGCGCCAGGTCCAGCCATGCACAGACGAAGAGGAGGGGATCAGACGAAGAGGAGGGGAGAGATGGGAAAGTCGTCAACACCAAGTCTCGTTACAAGTCCCAAATAATCCCTCTTCGATATGTCTGAAGTCCAATGTCGAGTCTGGATCCAAATGTC